CATTGGTCAACTCGAACCGCTAAATTCAAATTCGGCGCACGGAGTGTGCAATAGGTCCCGTGGGGATATAATAAGAATGTAACAAGATATTGTAAGGGCATATAACAAGGGGATACACGTATTTTCCCGGAAATTGGTTATACCTTATTCTGCAAAGTCGAAGCTGAATTCGAAAAAAGGTCTGTACCAGTAATTGCCACTCCTAAATCTATTTGGGTTTTAACTTCCAATGAAACGATGAATTCTCTGTTACCCTTTTCACTTTTTTGGAAATGAATTGAGTCTTGAAAGACTTGACAATTTAAACTTCTTCAAATGTCAAGTCCCCGAGTAATCTAGAACACTAGTTTTGTCAAGGCTTAATTTTAGTAGAACTCGAGAATTTATTTTTTTTAATAGCAGGTCCGTCCGTTCTTAGAATTGGAAAGTGACGGAATAGTAAACTTTCAGATTTGTAATGATACTTTAATATTTTATGTATTTAAAAATGATGTATTTATGATTCTGAATTTAATTTTGAATGTAATGTGCTCATTAGTTTTTCAATCTTATTCATTGCGAATTATAACAATTAAATTTCGAACGAATGAGTCCTAAATTTTTTCGGATCTATTGCTTGAAAAATCCAAAGTCCAAAGCCCAGAAGTATTTAATACCTGGGGATTTTTTCCAATTACCAAGGACTAGTCAAACTGAGACTTATAAAAATAAAAATCTGTAAGTCCCTCCAGGATTTGGGACATGATAATTTTTAAGTACCAAGTCCAATAGTACTTTGTACTTAGAAATAGAATTAGGAGTAAAATAAAATTTGCTCATGACTGGTCTGTACAACAATTTTCCTCAACACACGCGACACTATCATGTTCACATTGGTTTTCTAATAAGAGGATAGAGATCGAAATTGAAGAATACAACTGAAATTTCCCTGAGTGAACTTGGTGCCAGCACTGTGTATCCAATTACCCGTAAGTCATTGTCTTGAAATCGATCACAATGTGCGTCCTGTTGCAACGCGAGATTAAACGGTCGTGTTTAATATTCATCATCTCGAATAGAAAATACAATCTACTTGTATTATGGTAAGACACGAATCGATGGCAGATGATGATAGTAGGGAAAATTCTAGCTGCACAGGCCGGAGGGATCCACCAGACCTCGAGCAATTAATTCAGCTGTCGCTGGATCTTGCTTTGAGTGTTGGGGTCCTTGTTGGCTCTGAGGTACATCGAAGTGAGAACGTACGTGGAACATGAATTCAGCTTTGTCAGTGAAGTCGGTGCGACACATTAGACAGAAGTGTCGTTCTGATGCATACGGCTGAGGTGGAGGTACGGAGCCAGGAAAATAGGCTGCCGCGTGCTGAGGAGGTCCTGGAGATTCCACCAAGTGAGATCTAGACAGAATAAATTATTTTCATTATTTTCCATCGTGTAGGAGAAGAATTTTCACAGTCCATCGTGAGCGTTTTTGTGAGCGAATGGCTACACTCAGGGAAAAATATTTGCAGATTCATGTTTTTACGGTTGATTGACACCCCACCCCAATTTAAGGGCCAGATGGAGTATCTCGAAAAGATAATTTACTCCAAAATTGGGATTCCTAATTACCCTGCCAATTAATTGTTTTTTTCGATAATTGTTAGCTAGCGTTCTAGTCGTTGACAACCGCTAGAACGCTAGCTAACAATTATTGAAAAAAAAAACGATTAATTGCCAGAGTAATTAGGAATCCCAATTTTGGAGTAAATTATCTTTTCCAGATAATCCAACCGGTCCTTAAAGGTTCTGCAAATAATTAACATTACGAATTATAATCTTTAATTACTCCAGTTTCGGAGAAGTCCGTCTTTACTTGTATGAAGGAACTCATATTCAAAAATTTACAAGAAAATGATATCTCGCACTGGGAGGAAAAACTTGAGTCAAGGCATTTGGTACTCATCCGAAAAATGATGAGCAATCAATTGACAACAAAGTTATTTATTCGATCAAATCAATTAGTTTTTAAATTGAAGTCTCTTGCGTTTGACAAAAGTAAACTTCTGAGCAATTCCATTTTCATTATCATTACATGATCATGATGTCTGGAACAAATGCATAATTTATGGACAGAAGTGTTTTCTTTCGTAAAGTAGAATATCATTGCCTTCTGAATTTTG